TCTCCAGAGGTCCCTTCCAACCCCCACCAGTGTGTGGCTCTGTGATGAGCACAGAGCCCACGCACACAGTCCCGGGGTCAGCACAGGGTCTGTGCCAGGGGGTCACAGCCCAGGTCAGCTCAGGTGCCTGTGGGTTAGTAGCCACGTGGCTGTTGCTGCCTGCGGCACCCCAGGAAAGCCTCTATGGTTGTCCTACACCAATGAAGTCCACCGCAGCCATGCCACAGCCGTGCCACCAGCAGAGCAGACAGGAGGGGGGGTGAAAAGCACAGACCCTGACAGAGCTGTGACCCCCACGCTGTGCGGGGTACACGAGCAGAGCTGTGGCACCGCAGAGCCACATGCACCCGTCAAAAATCCACGTGTGCCAGCCACACTGGGCAAAGGAGCAAAGCACTGTGCTGGAGTGCTGTGGCTGGAGCACCCTGGTCCCAGCACATCCCATCGCTGCTGCGTGAGCTCGGGCTGCAGGTGCACGGGGAAGCCCTGTGGTCCCGATCCTGCCTTGGGGCTCAGCCCTTGCCCACCCCTCGTACCCCTCCTGTCCCATCGGCAGGTACACCCCCACTCCCGCCCCACTGAGCCACTCCAGAGCCACCTCCATGGTGGCAAAGCCGCAGATGCCACCATCCCACTCATCCTCAGGGCCCTGCTCTGCTCCCCGAGCCCCCCCGGGGGTCCGACTGCGCCAGGGCTGCCCCCGCACCCGAGCTTCCCATTCCAGGTAGGAAGGTCTCCTCGTCTGCAGCTTCAGCTTGGCCGTCAGCGCCTTCACACTGTCCAGGCTCTCCTCCTCCCAGCTGGGCTCCTCCTCGCCCAGCTCCTTGAACTTCAGCTGGCCAAAGGGCATGGTGGCACCCACCAGACACACCCCCACACCCCCCCAAAAAAAACCCAAAACACTTGGGTGATTTCAAAGCCCCCGTGCAAACGAAGCCGGAGCACCCCCAGGGCAAGGAGCACCCTGACCACAAACACCCACTCACTCCCCCCAGCTGCACCCGAGTCCCGGCTATTTATTCACCCCCCCAGAACAATAAAGGTTGGGGACATCGGGGACAATTATAACAGGCAGGAACTTTCCTTATCCAGAGCAGAGGGGAGTTTTTTTGTTTTGTTCGGTGGCGGGTTTGGGTTGGTTTTGTTGGTTGGTTGTTTTTTTTT